TTCTATGATATTTGTATTGTTGATATTGATAGAGGAATGAGGCCAAACACTCATTTCGATAAGGTCGAATGAAAATTTGTTATGACTGTCTTCAAAGAGAAAAATAGTCATGCTTTTAGTAAGACTAACTTAAAAACAAATGGGATGGTGCTAAAAAAGACTAAAGGATTTGGAAAAAAATGATTTTTAAAATAGATGTAGGATGGAATAGTGATCTTAGAACTATTAGTGCTAGTGATGAGTGGTGGGCGAAAAAAACTCAAGTTAGTTATTGATACCTTTTTTTATCTCTCTATATATATTTTTTACTTTGTCTTGTCCTATTTCTAAAACAATGTATCATGTGTTATTTAGTTTACGCATTTGATATTTTATACACTTATTTTTAGAAAATCAAAGATTCCAAAAAGTTTAGACATTCTGGGATTGAACCATCATTTTGCAGTAAGTTTGATTTAATGATCAGTAATGTTATGGTGACTGGATATTATGTTTGGATGCCATCTTCCGGATCTTTATTTGATGATAATGCTGCTGGTCAAAGCACTTTGAATGGTAATGTTAATGAAAAAGAAAATTTGGAGGAAGAAAGTGGAGATTTTGAGAAGGATGATATTCTTAAATTCACTGATGATGTTTGCAATTTAGTTATTGACGTGAATATGGAAAATAACAGTATCACAAATAGCAATGGAAAGAGAAAAGCAAGAGAACAATGTGGTGGACAAAGTAGAAATAAAAGTAAAAAACCTTCAAGAGTAGGTGCTTGCTTGATGTCACATTGGGATGAACTACTTGATCGTGTTTCCATCAGGAATGAGAGTAGGGATAAGATAGGGTGTAGTATAAGTGAGGTGATGCTAGAGGTCCATTCCATACTCGAAATTACTTTCGGTGATGACTTGTATTGTTTTGCAACTGAGTACTTGTCTAGGAGGACGAAAAAAGAGATGTGGGCCTCAATTAGAGATATTGATAGGAAGTATCAATGGCTTCAAAAAATATACAAGAGAAGTCAAAAACACTAAATTACAATCAATATTGCTTTACTAATGTATCATAGTTTCTGTTTTCAATTACTTTAACAACTGGATGAATATGAGATTTTGTTTTTCTACCAAGTCATGTACAGGTGTCCAATATTGGGACAATAATGCTTAAGGCTGCTGGATTGAAGCATGAAGAGTGGTGCTGATTTTATAGAGAACTAGCAGTTTATATTATGTTTACGGATTGCTAACTTAACCTTTTTTACATTTCATGGATTATTGTTAAATTGTTGTGTTGTCTTATATTATATTGAGGGATAATCTGCTGTTATGTTGAGGGATACCTATAATGACTGTTAAGATTTATGCTGGAACAATGTGTGATTATATGTCGTGTCTGAATGCTTATGGCTATGCTGATATCGGTGTTGTATTAAGATATTGTTTGTGAATGATTATTGCTATACTATTACTGCCGTGTGATGCTAAATTGTTTGTGCTTGCTTATGCTGGTTGTGCTGTTTTAGGGTATGCTGTTTGTGAATGCTGCTACCGTTGTATGTTGGCACTACCATGTTAGTATGCTGGAACCATCAAAGCATGCTGAAAAAGTGAAGGAAACAGAGAAATAAAAATATGTACAGATAAAGGGACCTATGGCAAGTGGGGCTTTGGCAACAGGAAGTTATGGAATCAAGTTTTACATCTATTAGAAAAGAATTGTTATTTCCAACCATTGTTTTCTTTATAGTTATGATGTAAGGCAGCAGGTTATTTACAACCACTTTTTTGCTTTACAATCATGAAATGTAAGGCTGTAGGTTCTTGGTTGTATGTATATGTAAGGCTGCATTATTGAAACAGTGCATGAGCACATGCACCTAAAAAGAAAAGGCAATAAGATTCTCAATTTGTAAAAGCTTTATAGCACTGCAGTCAGGCATATTCTTCAATGTTACTGAGTATATGTATTGTTTGAAATTGTAAAAGTTTTGACAATGAGATATATTGCTTCCTATATATAATACATGTTGTTACTTCACATTTATAAATACTATTCTGCCCTGTTTAATACACTATAATAATTATATTTTTGATCTTCAAAGTTCCTGCAACAGAAGTTTTAGTTGTAAGTTCTTTGTGTTTAATCTCATTTTTTGCATTAAAGGCTGATTTGTTGCTGATTTAAAGTTCATTGGTCTTTCAATGCAAGACCAAAAAGTGATGTGGTTTGTATGCAATTGTTTGCTATAGTTTATCCTCACATTATTGTTTTGATGCTTTTGTTTCATGCATGAATTTGAATGCTATACAACATAACATTTTGATATTGAAGTTTTCTTTATTTATATAGGTTATGGATAAAAGTCATGTTATTAATCTATAGCATGATATTATTTTTCTACATGATATTATTTTTTTTCATATTTTTTAAAGTGATAAATAGTGTTGTCAATTTAAATATAAAAAGTGATGGATTTTTTTTTAATATGACTTGAAATAAACACAAATGTTTACAATTAAATTTGTGTAGGTAAATATGGTATATGAATGGGTTAATGCTATGCTTGGTGTTAAATATGATAACAATTATGATATTGTGATGAATCATGTAATTGATCATATTAATTGTAGGAATACTGGCAATAGTGGTGGAGCTACCAATAATGAAAATGGTTGTGGTAATGAAGGGGTGAATAATAGTGGCGATGATGGGGATGATTCAAACAGAACTGATGATGATGATATGATGATAGTGATGAAAACATGAATCCAAATTGTACTGATGATAAGGATGATTCATTTTGGCAACGAGAGCTTGATGAAAACATGAATTCAAATTGTACTGATGATGAAGATGATTCATTTTGGCAACGAGAGTTTGATCATAAAAAACTATTGTTATGTACCATTAGTGCTTTGCACATATACTATGTTACTTATGTGTATAAGGAACCTTGTATGGTTTCATATAACACAAGGATGAGATGGTTGACTGAAGTCGTTGGAGGATACTGAAAATGGTGTGTTAACATATTTAAGATGGATTCAATGACGTTATAAAACCTTTGTTATGACTTGGAAACATAATATGGCTCGAAACCATCGAGAAGGACGAGTGTTCTTGAAAAGGTGACAATATTTTTGTACACTATTGTATTAGGTTAAACAAATAGGCAAGTCTAGAAAAGATTTCAACACTCAGGTGAAACTATGAGTCGCTATTTTAATTAAGTGTTGGAGATAATTTGTTTGCTTGCAGTAGATATAATGAAACCCAAGGACTCTGAATTTTTAAACACTCCATGAGAAATTGCGATGAATCCTAAATTTATGCCTCATTTTAAGGTCAAACAGACAGTCTTTATAGCAATTATAGAGATCAACATTAATATTATATTCTTAATCTTTAATTACTTATAAAATGTTGGTTATTGTTTTGTTTTGTAGAATTGCATTGGAGCAATCGACGGGATACATGTGCGTGCTTTTGTTTCTCATGAAAATCAAGTACTATTTATCGATAGAAAAGGTCTGCCGGCATAGAATGTAATGGCAACATGTTTTTTTAATATGCAATTCACGTTTGTTTGGGCAGGATGAGAATATAGCGCTCATGATACTTGTATTTTTTTGGAGGCTATTGATAATCCAAGCATAAAATTCCTAAAATCTCCTGAAGGTACATGTAGGAAAATAATTAGATTCAAACATATTTATATTTTAAATATGTTTATTCTGTATTTCTTTATTACATTTGATATAATTTTCTTTATCGTTATTTCAGGTAAATATTATTTGGTTGATGCTAGGTACTTAAATGAGTATGGATATCTCGGTCCATATAAAGGTGAGAGGTATTACTTCTGAGAGTTTCGACGTCGAGGGCAACCAACAAGTCAGGAAAAGCGATTCAATAACGCATATTCATCACTCCGCAATGTCATTGAACATGCATTTAGGGTGTGGAAACAACGATGAAGAATTTTACAGAACATGTCGATATATTCGTACAAATCACAAGTGTAGATTGTAATGGCGTTAATGGCAACGCATAACTACATAAGAAGAAAGTCACAAAAAAATGTTGGATTTACAAAATATGACACAATCCTTATTTTATTCTTGATAATTTTTTAGTCAATGTTGTATCACGTTCTCAAAGTCAAAGTCAAGGGAACCATAAGCCTTCTCAAATGAATTACATTCATGATGACATCAGAGATAGCTTAATGGGATGAATGGAGGACAACAATTATGTAACATTCATATTTTTTATGTATTAAAAGAATTCCTTGACAAATTTTATTCACAACTTCACAAAATTCACACGTGCTTCGAGATAATTTTACTAATAAAAGCATTTATAAAAGTAATTTAATTAAATACATATCAAATAATTTTTAAAAAACTCTTATTTTAAAACAAAACACATATTTACTTAAAAGAATAAAAAAAAAAATAATTTTTTAAAAAAGTGTTTTTTATCTATGGCAATCACAAAAATAACCATTTTTCTAAACACATTCTACCATGTCATTATAGACTAGTAAAATTCAATCTTGTCTGTCTGAACCTGGTTACAAGGATGGGAATTAAGGTTCAGACATCACTTGACCCATTTTTTCAAAAAAATAAAAGGTTGTTAAGTTGTAATTATATTTTTTCAATATAATATTTTGATTCTGATTTTATTATTCATGCCGTTTATTTCTTAAAATATATTTACTTTATATAATTGATTATTTTGTTACGGCGCATGACCAAAAATAAAACGAAGTTGATTTCCGTTGCCACCAAAACATCATATGAAATAATTACCGTAATATTGTATTATTATGTTGCCAAATAATGCCTCAAAAGAAACGACAAACAATGACATTTTCTTGCCAACTAAATCAGCATAAGATACCTACATAGTCATTGACCTCTGAGGGAGATGTATCCTCCCCTCCCTCTACTATATAAACACAACAACCGCACAAACCTGATCTCTCACACCATCTTTCATTTCTCATTCTCTGATCAGATAAATATGGCCTTGATCGCATTCCTTGCTCTCTCTCTTCTCCTTAATGGAGCTCTTGGTAAATCCTTCTACTCATCTCTCTCTCTCTCTCTCTGTAGATATATTCAATCTTGTATGCTAGCGGTGCTGAATTGTTTCTTTTATTGTTTGACATGGTATATTATCTAGGCGAGCTTGTATGCGAGCAGTTGCCCGTTGATTTCTGCTCATATTCAATTGCAACTTCTGGGAAGCGATGTTTGCTGGAGAATTACGCCACGAAAGATGGAGGTGTTAAGTACCAATGCAAGACATCAGAGGTTGTTGTAGATAAACTGAACGAATGGATTGAGATCGATGAATGTATTACTGCATGTGGCCTCAATAGAAACACTGTTGGTATCTCATCAGACTCTCTCCTTCAGCCTCAGTTCTTGACTAAACTTTGCTCAAAGTCGTGCTCTCAAGCTTGCCCCAACATCGTCGATCTCTACTCCAATTTGGCCCTAGCAGAAGGTACTTCCATATGCTAATCCTTTATCTATCTGCAGCCGCTACAACTTTTTATTTCCTTCCACTTCATGTGTCAAAAATCTCGCACAAAAATAATATACATTGCATGCGTATATTCAGGAGTTTACTTGCCAAACCTGTGCGCCAGTCCCCGCCGTGCCATGTACCAGACTAGAAGCAATGGTGATGCAGCCCCTGCACCAGCCTCTGTTGGAGCCCTTCCACCCGAATCTGCCATATCTAGTGCTGCTGATGTCGCTTGCGCTCCAACTTCCATTTGATTCTGTTATTGGAGTAATTTATACTAAGTTTTTCAATTAGAGATCATGTACGATCTTTCTGCTGTATAGTTCAAAAGGGATTAAAAAACAGAGAATACGGAGCCTATTATTATATACAATCTCTCCTGGAATCGCGATGATAATAATTAGGAGTACTTTCTATGCATGCCTGTTTAAATATTTTGTGTTTTGGACTGATCTCCAACATAATTATTCCAATTAAATAGTTTCCCTTGGCAATCATCATGAGTGTTTGTTTTTTTTTTTGAAGTAGCATTTTAAAAAATTATAGAAAGAGCAACACAGTTCGAAATTTATTTTAAAAATAATATAATTTAGTGAGCCATATGCAATTTCAATCTAAAAAATTTAATGGAGGATGTTTTTTCTACCACTCAACTCTCTATCACAAAAAATAATCAACCTAAAATTTACAATTTAACATTCAATTCAATTCATAATTAAACAAAATTATAATTTATATAATTATTTAATTTAATGTAATTTAATTTAATTTAAATTTATTATTAAACAAAATTAATTCTCATAACATTAACATTCAAATATATCGTTTAAGTACATTCTAAAATCATAAAAATTATGGATGAAACTACACCAAAATCACCCCAACTTGTCAAATAATAAAATGCATTCAGAATAAAAAAAAATCAAAATTAATCATTCAAATACGTGAAATAATATCTAATCACTAAAATATATATAAAAAAAGAGTTAGACACTAAAATTTTAATTTTCTTTAATCTAGCGCGAGATCTATTTTACTATGTATTACTTGATACCAACCACCTTAGAATTTAACATTCTCAATGATGAAATATGCTAAAAAAAAAAAGATCACTCAAACAGGTAAATTAAAAAATTAGGCATTGAAAAAAAAAATAGCATGAAGTTATAATTTTCTCCATTCCATCATACCCCACAGTTTCCATCGTAATTCTGCTCTGCGCCACCAAGACAACAGCAGTTTCCTTGGGTTTACCTTTAACCAACACTGCCCTAAACTGACACATAGATATTGAGAGAGAGAGAGAGAGAGAGACAGAGAGAGTTTGATCTTTTTAATAAAAGAAAGTAAAGATAGAAACAAACACCGCCACCTTCCCTGCTTCCTTTAACACCCCTCTGTTTGTCGCTAACTCCAAACTTAGCTCTCTCTCTCTCTCTCTCTATCTCGTTACTGCTAGCTCTCTTCTCCTGAAAATTGACGAAGCAAATGGCATAAAACCCTTTCATCAAAACCCCGGCCTTTAGCACTTTCTTAAGTTTTCTCCTTTCTAAGTTCTCTCAAAATGCTAGCTACACAGTCTCCCCCTTTCGACGGAGACCACCATTTCAGTGCCAGCAGCAGTGAAATCTCACTGTCTGGCGAGATTGGGGCTCATAGGAACTCTTCTGTGTCAGATTGCTTGTCAGAGGTGGATTTGGAGAGTGGAGGTTTGGATATGGAGGTGCATTTGGACAACGAGACTCAGAGAGATTGTAGAATTTGCCACCTGGGTTTGGAGACTAGAGAGCAAGAATGTGGAGTTGCTATCGAGTTGGGGTGTTCTTGTAAGGGTGATTTGGGGGCTGCACACAAGAAATGTGCAGAGACTTGGTTCAAGATCAAGGGTAACACGTGAGTAAAGACTTCAACTTTTTCATTTTTTTTTCTTGCTAAAAAAGTTATGTTCTGTTGTTGCATTAGCTTGTTTGTCAGAAAATTAGGATATCCATTTGATGGTTTTGAAGAATTCGGCATTATGTTCTTCGGTTAAAAAATTCTGGTTATAGTTTTGTTGGCTTGAGGAATTTGTTTGATCCCGCATGTTGGTGACTTGAAAGTGTTCGCAAAAGAATCTTGGGATCCTCTTGATTGTATCGGTCTGATCTGATTTGAACTGTCAACTTGTAAATGTGCTTTTCCCACTATAAGTTCTTGTTAATGATTAATAGAAAACTCCACTTGAGGAGGAACAAAAAATTTAATTAGCTTGTTTTGGCAGCATAGAGACAGTTTTGGAGAGAGAACAACTAGGGTTTATTTAGAATAATTGAAGTTGCTGAGGGTTGGGACTAATTAAATGAGAGAGGTATTGTCTTCTATTGTTTCAAATGAAAAGTAACCCAGGTATAAGTTTTGACCGGTAAATATTTTTGTGATTTGATAAAGTTAAAGATCCATAGATAGGGTGTTAGCTAAATTGAATGTAGCTTTGTTATTCTCACATATTTAACACATTTAGATTTAACTATGAGTTAAATTTAAGTCAATATAAACAATAAAATATCAAACTTAATATACATGGATTTAGAACTAAATTCAAATCACATTAATCTAGCAAGTTGCTGGAATTGTTATGTTTGGTTCTGCCAAGAGCTTAAACCAAGACATTGAGGGTACGAGGAACTCCTAAATTTATTTTTTTAGATTTGATTACACGTCAAACTTAATTGGACTTAAAGATCCATGTTATGACTATAAAATTTTATTTTTAGATTATTAACATTAACTGTTTATGTTAGAAGTAATTATTTTTCTATATCTATAGATCTTAAGGGGTTTACTACATTTTCTATCTCATTAATAATATATAAAAGATATTTGTCTCTATTAATGCTATTAAAATTGAAGAATTATTCCTCTTTTAAGTAAATGGTTCATTTTTTCTTACTCTAAAAATTTATAATACCAAGAACAAACATTATCTTTCTTGGAATTCAAAGCTATTTTTTTATTTATTTAAAAATATTGATTTTATTATTGAAGGTTCTTCAAGTCCCTAATAAGAACTGTTTTTGAAGATACCAGAACTAATATTATCAATTTTTTTCATTTTATGGGCTAAGGAAAAGGAAATAAGAAGATTGATATTTGATTAACCAAATCCAAATGCCAAATAACATATTTCTTGAATATATTAGATTTTTGGGAGTTCATCAAATTTGTAATACTTGAATTAGATTCTTCTTGATCACCTACCACTTAACCTCGATAATTCCTGTTTTTGTTACCGAGTTAATCACTTATCAGCACATTCAAATTTCCAAATTCACATGGACAAAGCTTTCCTCCTTGTGCTTGACATTAGCCAATCTAACCACTCTGGACTCTTGTTAGCTATTGTTCCTGCCATGCTCTGGTTATAGTTGTCCTTATTCTTTTGCTCCTTTGTGACCTTTCTGAATAAGGGGGAACAGAACTGTCAAATTGAAGGCCAAGTAGAAATTCTGTGGGCGTAGTAAATCTTGTAGTTACCCTGACTTGAATCAAAGCCAAATTTCCTTAAAAAAAGAGAAAGAAACAAACAGCGTAGAGGGTCTTTCACGGTTACATTTTATGAAGCATGAAGTGTGGGGCCATGAAACCCATAGCTAGGAGCAAGTATTGACTTTGAGAAGTAGACAAGTGCTTCTCTACGAATATTCAAATATTCAACTGCAGAAATTCTGCTTCTATGAATGTCTTGAAGTATGGTATGCAAACTTCTCCTTTTGTGAATCGTTACACACTTGCATATAGGACACAAACGTGATTGCCTCTCATTTTATCCGTATAAATTGGTCATTTCTTCATTCTGCTATTGTGGTTGTACCCACTGTCACAGGTTTTTATTGTTTCTCATTACTGATCCAATTATGTTTTTGCGACATGCTGCCTTTGTTGTTTACAAGAAGGCTTATATGCATACCGAATGATCTAACCATTCTACGGTAAGGTGTTTGTATGCATTTGCTGAATAGTGTCAACATATGAATTTAGCGTAAATAGCGACAAAATGCTTTCCATAGCACTCTCAAAAACTAATAAATCTTCAGTGGCTCTTCTGAAATGCCATAAGTATATATGAATTCAAACAATTTAATCTGTCACCAAACAAAATTTACCCTTTTGAACTCAAGATGTTACCTTGTTTGAGACTCCATGTTTATTTTTATGGCAATTCAATTTTGATTTAAGTTCTAAATTATCTTAACGCTGTTGTGTTTCTGTTTTTACAGGACATGTGAGATATGTGGTGCCACTGCACTTGGTGTTGCAGGCCAACAGACAAATGAGGCACATAACGCTAGTGCGGCAGTCTTATCAGCACCAGCAGCCCCTCTTACCCTCGTGGAGACCCAAGCATTTTGGCATAGCCGCCGCGTTATGAATTTCTTACTTGCCTGCATGGTGATGGCCTTTGTCATTTCTTGGATCTTTCACTTTAAAGTCCTCTCTTGAACCGGGAAGCAAGTCGTGGCCATTTCTTGGCATCAGGGATGAGGTGTGAGTGTGACCCCCCTTCCATCAAGTGCCTGTTTTTTATGCTCTTCGTCCGTATTCTAGCTTATAGGTTGTGCCACATCTGTGACTAACACTGCAACTGCAACTGATCAGGTGCTCCAGTGTATTTGTTTCTGTATTATGCATACACGTAAATCACTATCTTCGTTTACATATAATTCCTGCCTGCTGTCCTTCTCTTTTCCCCCCTTCAGTTTTTAACTATGTTCAGAAAACTTCTGTAAGCAATAGTTTCCAATTTTGGACGATTGTAAATGGAGCAGAGAGGATTGGCTGATTCTCATGGGCAAATACTGATTCTACTTGGCCTCATATTTGGTTAGAATCAAACCCAGGTGTTCACTAACTCACTCGAGCAATGCACTGCCTGCTGCTAGTACGGAAATTCCAAATCCACATGTATTGGCAGCAGTTCTGTAAATTACTTGGACCATTCTGTGATTATCTGGAAATCAAATGGGAATGAAATAAACAGATCGCACCTTCATGAGAGAACAGAAAAATCAAAATTGCTCCCTCCTGCCTGATAGATGAATAGCTCTCTGACTCTGTTTAACTTAGATAGCAGAAATGCCAATTAAATTTGTTCCACCCAACCCCTAAAAGATGAAGAAATTTGTATCCAACTTCCAAAATGATGAGAAACACGAATCATATCCAAACACACTGATTGAATTGGATCAAACATATCGTGTTGCATTCAGCTAAAACCATAACATGAAGATTGCAATTGGTCACATCGATCTCAACCATTATTTGGTATCTATATATGTGGTGGAATTCCATCTATAATCATCAACAGCCTTGTCCAATGAGCTCCTCACATGCTGGCACGTCAACATCAACTTCTGACATGCATCTTTCAACACCTCCCGTACTGGATTACCTGCAAAAGTTACACGCAAGAAGTCGAAACTCAAAAAACAGAAACGGGAAACTGAAAAGAAAATTGCAGTAGCTGCATAATCAACTAAAAGGTCAGGGTATTCGGAACAATTCAATTACTCGAGGATAGATGTTTCATGTAGCAACAAGACTCTGCTATTGATTGATTAAAAGGAACCGCGCTTCATTCCTACCTTCAGCAACAACAACAAAAAATTAACAACAATAAAAAATTAACAACATTTTCTTTCATTATTATTTTTAGGGTTAGATAGAGAGCATCCCGTCTCCTTACCTGCTTATTAGTATTGACAGTCTGATTTCTGAGCTTCTGGCTCCCTTCACTCTTCTTCTTCACTTGTTATAGCCCCCAATCCAAAAACCCTAAAAACACAGCACCAAAACCCTAGAAAAATAAAACAAAATTGGGGTCTTATTTAGGTGTTCCATTTGGGAACCGAGCAGGTTACACGTGTCTCTTTTATATAAATTAACAAAAGGTTGAAAGGGAAAGAGATTTTACAGTACCCTCGTCAAAAAATAGTTTTTCTTTTCTTTGTTTTTTTTAATGATTTTTTTATTGAAATTACAGTATTAAATATTATTTTTTATTAAAAATTTAATTTTATAATTTTTATAATTTAATTTTATAAAATTATCTCAGTTTTATATTAATGAATTAACTTTATTAATTAATTTTTTTATTTATCTAATTAATTTTTTTCGAATTCATCCTTTAATATTTGCATAATTGAAAACTAGACTTTTTAATTTAATTTAATTTATTTTTTAAAAATTTATTTTTATTTGATGACTCGAATTATTGGTTTTGCGGATTAATTAGGTTAATTAGAGTTATTTTTATATTATTTTTTAATATATTTTTTAATTTTATTTTTTATACCAAGTTAAATAGGAATCAAATTTTATAATTTGTTTTATTATTTTTTATTAAAATATCTCAATTTTATAACTAGAATTTTAGATTTCAAAGGTTAATATAAATTTACTCGGACTATTTTATTAGTTTTTTGTAATTAATTTTTTTAATTTTATTATTTAAGTATGAATTTATTAAAAATTAGACTTTATACTTTATTATTTATAAAATTATTATAATTTCATGATTCATCATGTAAATTAATAAATTAATCCAAGTTAATTTGAATCGATTTAATATGTTACCATTTTAATTTTTATAAAAAAATATTTTTAAAATATTTATTTTAAATCAAACAATATTTTTATTAATAATTTAAATTATTTTTAAATCTAATAAATTAATCCGGTCATATCAAATTAATATTTATATAATTTTAAAAATATATATATACTAAAAAAACATTTAAAACACATATAATATTTTTTTACGTTAGAAAAATTCATTCTATCTACGGCGCAGCGCTGGCGAATGATAATAATGTACTCCCTCAATTTCATTCGTGCTAGGTTGCGTGGCCTCTTATCATTGGGCCTTGTAGATACTAAGCATACAAGCATGTGATATTATGATCATCAACGCACTACTTTTCCTTTTTAATAGAATGAACAAACTGTGGCCTCGCTTGCCTTGCCTCCTAAAACCCTAATTCGCATCCATCTCGCGGCTCCTTCTACTCATCTCTTACAGTACGTTTGGATTCGATTTTCGTTCTAAATTACCCGAGAAAGGTTCTTTGTGGGTTGATAATAAGTTTGTGTATTTGTGGTGGGTACAGGGTATAAGTACAATGGCTGCGAATAACGTTGGTCTACCAGCTGGTGTCTCCAAAGAACAGGTGGGTCCTTTCATTTCAGCCTTTTCTCTTCTCTTATGGGATTTTTAGACAGTGAATTGGGTACCCTTTTGTGATTTTTGTTATTTATGGTGATTTTTGGTTGGTTTTAAGTACTAGTATTTGTTTTGTTTTTTCTATTTATATGTTTTTATTGATAATTTATTACGATTATTTACGTGGACATTTTGCAATCAGTGTTTTGAGTTTTTGGATTTTGATAATGGTGTTGTAGGCCTATGGCATGGCTGAGACCGAGATGGAATACAGAGTCGAGCTGTTTAACAGGTAATAAGTTGTTTCTTTTTGTGTTTTAGTAATAGGAGTGCAAAACAGAGGCATTGGAGATATTTGGGAAGCTGGGAGCTTTCCTTTATGAAACAATTACAATGTTTTCTTGTTGCTTTTCATTTCTGTTTCATTTTTATTTATATGGGAATCTTCGAGCTTCCGTTTATGAAACAATTACATTCTTTTCTAGTTGCTTTTTATGCCTGTTTCACTTTCATTATCATCATGGTCTTCTATGGTTTGTTCAATTTTAGATTATGCGAATTGTGAAGAGCTGACAATCAGTACTGAAGCGGTAGGATTTCGCTGTTTACTGAAGTGTTTTTTTTTCTTTGATGTTTTTGGATGGGATTTTTTTTGATAGACAACCACGCTATCTCGACAACTGTTTATACCTGATTAGAATTAGCATAGTTGATTGAAGGAGATGAATGATTGCCCTCGTGCTTCATTAATCTTTTCTTCTTTAGTTATTAGTGATTAGTAAGAGGTGAAAACTGAATAACTGGCTTTCTAAGTTTGAAACATTTAGCTGTGGTTATCATCTTTTTATTTTTCATGTGATCTCTATTGGTATCACATGAGCTTGGATTTCAATCATTAAACAATTTGGAATCATATCTGAGATAAAGGATCACTTTGTGCCTGAATTTGATTATTGGATTATTGTTATTTCAGGCTTCTCAATACATGTTTCAACAAGTGCATTGACAAAAGGTAAATTCTCTGATTTTCTTCTGTTTGTAGGGATCAGTGACCCTTGTGAAAGTGTTGATGGATGAAAATATCTGAGCTTCACATTCATTTTCTTTTTTCTTTTTTTGCTTTGTCTTCAACTTTTATGTTTTTTCTTTCTGTTCAGGCACAAGGAGGCTGAGTTAAACATGGGTGAAAATAGTTGTGTTGACAGATGTGTTTCGAAATACTGGGCGGTAGGTTATTTACCTTTTTTCAATTAGCTGTTCAATTTATATCTCTTTAATGTTTAGCAATGCTTAGAACTTTAGTTAATAAACAATGATCTATTTTAACCAAATCATCTATGCTGATATTTTTTTAAATGCAATCATGTGAAACAATTTTTTTAGACGTATCTGCTTGTATGAATTTTAGTTCTTATAGCCTTAGGTGTACAACACAAATAATGATATAATGTTACATGCTTGATCTCCATCTTTCATTTGCTACTTTTCATGTCGCTTCTATTCAAGGTTTGTTTGCAATGTCTTGCTTCTTCTTTTTTCTGATCAAGCAATATCTTACTGATAGTTAATCTTTTGTATAGTTTTGTTTGTTAGATGCATCATTCAGTTGTGCCTGTTGTTTTAATCAGATCAATTAATCTTTCTTTTATGTTTTGGCTTTTGCCATCTTTTTTTTTTTTAAATTCTCAGCATATACAGACACCTATTATAAAATGGCTAATATTCATAAAGGGTGAATACCATATGGATATGCTCTATCAAAAAATTTCCACGTTTCTTGGTACATTTTAGCATTCATTGTAATTATAGGTAAATGTGAAGAATCATAACATGGTTACATGTTTCTTGCTCATATATGCCTTCCTTCTGTTCCTGGAAAACTATTCATATGGTGGCTTTGCGAATGCCCCGGTTCTTTTGGTAATTTCATACTTGTGTTAAAACATTGTGCTTCCTTTAGTGTTTTTGCTTGCACATTTTGCAGTCCAAGTTGTTACAAATGCAAGCTCTTCTGTTTGGATGGTTATATAATCAAAGCTCAAATGTTTTTGCCAGGTGAATGGTATTATCGGCCAGATGCTTAGTGCTGGTCAACGTCCAATGTGAAACTCATACCTGCTCGGGTTTGAAATTTGTTCTTCATGAATAGATTGGAAGAGGAAGGGAACTAACAATTCTCACATTGTTATTATTCTCTAATCTATGATGTCATTTTCATTTGATTAGGAATTAATGGCAGTTTTGAATCTGTCTTTTAGATTTTACTATAAATAAGATCATTTTTTTTGGCTTCAGGACCTTGGTGATAAGAGTTCGTCTTTTTGCCTGTAGCACATGATCTCTGTCATTACAGTTAAATCATTTGCATAATGTTGCGTGATTATTGGCAGTTTTTGGTGCAAGAATTAAAATTGCTTAATGAATATTAATTGAACATTACGAGACTCATTTGTTTAATGTTCTTATAGCATTTGGTGAAACTGGAGAAATATTATTAGCAACTATATAAATTTTTTGGTAGCTAATATTGAGCTATTTGTATATGAACAGTTCAGATGGCAAATTGTCTCGACGAGAAACTAAATAGTTATTGGTGCTCAATTGATAATTGATTTGGCATCGCCAATGTCATTGCGTTTTCAATGTGCGAGTGGCAACGACCAAAGGAAATTGATTTCCTAACACGAGGCAGCCAATTGCTTCCCTTCCACCTGGTAGCCATAAGTGCAACCAAGTTTCCGAGGCACATGGTCTCGAGTCCTCCAAGCCTGCCATGGACACTTTACATTTGCTTTTGGAGCTACCTTGAAAAGACATATTGTTTGGCCATGTATGAGGCAACTGCACAACTTTGATGTTAAACTAGGACATTCAGACTTTAGTCGCTTCAGGAGACTGCTAAGCAGCTTTGTCCAGATGATCTGTCCGGGTGATCCATAAAACGGGGCTCCTGTCTAAATTCCAATTCGTTTCGGTGGAATTTGGTAATCGGTATTGTCCCTGGTTCCTTAGACGTCCTCAAAAGGCAGCAATTTGATGTTTTTTCAGCTGAAAGCACTTGGATCAGCACCACTGAACATGCGGTAATTTACGTTCAGCTTGTGATCGATGTAGTATTAAACCTAGTACGGACAACAAGAAGTCGCCAAGAAGCAAGAGGCTTGTTCAAAGTTCAGATCAAAATGATGATGACATACACCAAGCATATAAATAATACAGTTAAACTTGTGGTGCTGCAGAAATTAAAATGCAAAAGAAACAAATAGAGATGAATACGAGTATATAATTTTTTTTTTTACAAAAAAGGCTATACGCTTTCAGTTTCTATGATTTTTGGCTTCCAAATATGTGCCATCTTTTAGAGTTTCTTGTGCATCACTGTCCATCCCAAGGCTAAAGAGGGTAGCAGCTTGAAGATAGAAGGCAGTGGGCCACTCGGGGGAAAGTGCTTGAGCTTGCATAGTATCTCCAAGAGCTTGTTGTGGCATGTCACTTATTAAGTAGCACAAACAGCGTCTAGCAAATACAGTTGGAGATACCATGGTCCCGCCATCAATAAACTGCACAACCAGGAAAAAAACTTATATACTACCTAAAATCTTAAAGCACATTCTATAGCTTTCCATCAAATCAGTAACTAAACTCATGGCAATATTTTAATCTATGGCAAGGTGAAGCTTTCTTATAAAGGACACGCCTCACTTTCTTCTGTTACAGAGCTGAAGGCCATGGCCAATTATTTCATTAAATTATTCCACATGTAGAAGAACATCTCCTTAGCTTTTAACCTATCTCCTCCATATCATATATCAGTAAAAAAGTGTAGCAACCATGCATTTCACTATGTTTGGACTTGACGACAGGCCCTATATTAGGTAAGAAAACGAAGGAAGACTCTGCAGTTGTCAATGAACATGACTTACTTGAGTATAACAATCGATGGCAGTGTTAAAATCTTTAGTTCGAAAAGCAGCATCACCATGTTTCTTACAATTCAGTGTTTCCTGTATCTGATCTGTCCACATTTGGAAGGAAAGCTACAAGGCAAGAGAAATTAATTACACTCGGTGTTAAGTACAGGTATAATAATGAAAAAAGTCAAACTTTGTTAACACGTTAATGATTGAAAATGGTAATCAAAGTACTTTTCTGTTTACTACCATGTTGTACAATAAAGCTGTCAGCATGGGAGAAAACGATTATCTGTTTTGAAAGGGAATCATCCCTCATGTTTTCAAGAAGATTTTTATATGTCAAGAAGTCTGGTACTTGTCTATCAGTTTAAAAATGATCGATAAAAAGCCCTTCTAAATTCTGAGAGTTACACATGTCAATTGGGGAATAAGGAATGAGAGGCAATGTCCAATCGAACTCATTTGTGGAGATTGATCTCCAAGTGACTGGGTGAGAAATGGTAATCTCTTGTGACTGAAAAGTGATGGAAATAACAGAAACAATGGGTTGCTATTCCGTGGAAACTGATGCTGTTAATGTGCAGATCAAATGATCAGACAAACTCGGAGACACTAAAGGCATTGTTCAAAACAGGGCAAAATAGCCATGTGTCAAAAATCAAACAATATATGCAGTAGATACCAACCTCATTTGCAATTCCCTCGTCATCCTTGTATCCCACCTTTTCTAGAATTTGATGTATTGCTGTAAGATCCAATCTTGAGCAAGCTTCACCTAGAGGTGTCAACAACATTGTTTGCTTTGGGGATTGAGTTCCATGTGGAATACCCATCAAAGTGTAGGATGGAACCTGCTAAATACCAGTAACTGAGATGATACAATATAATGAACGAATGTAACATTATAATTTGCATGATAAAAACATTAACTAACAGAGCAACACCACAAAATTCCAATGAAATGTCTCATGCGTGTGTGCATTGTCTTACAAAGGAGTAAAAGAAGTAATGCCCACCTCAGTTTCCTTTTGAAGAGGAGCGAGAGCACTGACAAGAGACTTTGCATTGGGCCTCTCGCGAGCTTCATACTGTAAACAACGTGAAGCTAAACGCACCAGTTCAGTTCCATCATCGTTTGAAAAATGACCCTCCAAACAAGAGTCCATCAGCATCAGAAAATTTTTTCCACGTATAAGGTCAAGTGCCTGCCAAAGAAGGAAGTGAAAAAAGAGAGGCAATACTAAGCTCAAAAGTTTCTCTGATTGAAACGATCAGGCACCATACAATCCAAATGTCAAGTATTAAAAGCTTATTGTCTCCTCAGAAAATTCTGAGTTCAATTTCAAGTTAAACTAAAAACTCAAATTACTTTTTCAGCTTCTAAATATCATACGTTAAAATGCCAAGAGAAATACATATGAAATTCCACCTTAAACAAATATTAGAGCAAAGAGAATATATATTACATGGCTTGGGGGGATGTGTTTTCCACTGAGAAGATCAAGCAATAGGGTGCCAAAGCTATAAACCACACTCTCTGGTGTCACTCTTCCTGCCATACATAGGCATCTACATTAAGCTCAACCAACAGGACATTGACATGTACTGGCACCCAATGCGTAAAAATAAAAGCAAGGAAACAGAGTAGCTTCACTTATTACCAGTTCTCAAGTACTCAGGAGGAGTGAATGCCAAATTCGTACTGTAGCTCTTTCCATCTCTGCTATTCTTCATCAGGCCAAAGCAAGAGAGCCTCGGGTTAGCATCCTGACAAGTACTAATTGAATTTAAGGAGCAGATCATGAAATTGAGAAAGATGAGTTTGATATAATATATAAAACGTAGCAAGTACCTGGTCAAACAAGATTCTATAAGCATTAAGGTCATGGTACAAGGCTCTTCCTTTACTACTACAGTAATCCAAAGCTTGAGCTAAATAAAGAGCCACTCTCAACCTCATTGTCCATTTCATCGGCTGGTTCTCCCCTGAACCCAAATTCAACCTTTTAATTTTTGACGTTAAATTAATTCCAACGATTGCTCAACTATATATTTTTTTTTAAACAAAAAAGTTAAGGATGAAAAGCAAGGATGGCTTACAATGAAAAAGATGCTTAGAGAGAGTCTCATTGGGCATAAACTCAGCAACAAGTAACCTCTCCTGTCCTTCACAGCAACACCCTATCAAATTGGACAATCTTTCATTCCTCAACTGCCCCACTGCTCTAGCCTCCTCCTATATAATAAGAACCCAACAGCAGCAAAGTCACAAAAAGCTCAAAAAACAAAGCGGGATTGAAATTTAAAACAAAAGATAGAAGAGAGATTGGAATTACAGACAAGGAATTGGCGAGAATCAGGCCAAGCAGACTTGTTAAAACGTTTTACAGCAATCCAGCGATCATCTTCTTGAAGCTTCCCTCTGTAAACTACATTGGGAGCTTTCTCTCCGTGCTCTGATACTATGTTGTCCGAACTGAACCCTGACGTGGCAGCTCTTAGCTGCTCCAAACTGTACTCTCTAAACCCACCAGGCAATAACTCCTCATTCTCTACAAATACAAGTTTGTATATTAGTTTGTCAAAACCCAAAAACAATAAAGGAGAATAAAGCAAACCCTAACTACAGATAAGAAAAAGATAAGGCAGTGAAAAACTGAAGGAAAAGGAAATAGCACTACTCCGGCTGGTCGTAGAAAGCTATTTAGATTACCAAGATCAGAGGGGTAGTTGAGGTTTGACTTGAGATGGGAAGGCCACCAACAGAGTGATAACTTGGAGCACCTACCTCCCATTGCCTCCTCCTCCTCCTATGATCTAGACTATATCACTTCTTCTGTTTCTTCTTTAAATACAAAGATAAAGAAAAACAGATAAGTTTTTACTTTTTAGTACTCATATTTCTCTGCATTTGAGTTTCTCTCTGTTTTTCTCAAAGGAGCTATACTGAAGCCTAGAGCTTGAGTAACAGTAGTAAGAGGAGTCTTCGAGTCTATTACCGTGTTATACTCTCTCTCTCTCTCTCTCTCACACACACACACACACATATATAACACTTTATTTCTTGGGAGTGGAAGAGAGAAAATGGAAGGGGAAGTGTTGTTTGGGAAGCAAGAAAGTGAGAGAAGAGGAAACAAACCTTTTTAAGATCCAAAAGCTAAGCTGTTTGTTTCACTTTCAACTCTCTCTCTGCATTTTTTCACTTCTTTACTTGACGTTTCCATTTTTTTATGTTGTCTCTTTCCTAGATTCTCTTCCCAAGTACAACAACTTAGAAACTAAAGCCACTCTCGAAATAAGCGGGTGTAATACACTGAATGAAGGATAATTGGACACGCTGATAATATTCTGGTACGTGCGAAGGCAAAGCGTGAAAAGCATAGAAATCTTAAAAGGTCCTTGCTTGGTGTTTGTGGCAATTAATACAGGGTCAAAGTCAAAGAAAGGAGATTGAATTCAACTCGACAACGCTCTCCCTCTTCCAGAAGAATAGCTTGTTTGGCTACGCGCTAAACAGTTGTTTTGTTATTTTTTTTAAATTATTTTTTTATGTTTTTTAATATTGATGTATTAATATTATAAATAAATTTTAAAAAATAAAAAAATATTATTTTGATATATTTTTAATAAAAAATACTTAAGGCACTATAAATGACTTTTTTAAAGGTATGATTGTCTTTGTTGTTCAACATATAATTTTTAAAAATGCCTTTTTAAATAGTTTTATGTAGAGAAATTTTATATTAACATTATTTTAAGTATTATTTTATGATTTTAATAAATTAATATAAAAAATATAAAAATATATATTTTAAATATACTTTGAGAAAATTTGCGCTAAGTTACTAATAACACACTTATAATCTTGTGAAATTATTTGATTAATAATCACTATAAGAAACTATTTATATTTTATTGGAAATTTACTGTGTTGTCTTTCTCTATCTCTTTCTTTTACTTTTTTTTAAAAAAAAATTTCTAATAATGTGTTCAATAAGAACCATAGCTTTGATGATTACAGTTATGAATTTCACGGAAAAATGGGTTTTACAGTTTACACTTTAGGCCACAGTTGGTGAACATCATGGTTAGTGAGGCTCAAAGGTAACATGTTCTGTGTCTGGTAAGATTCGGATAATGCATCCTAACCTCGTAAATGGATGGTGGGATCCCTATAATTGATGGTAATTTGGGCTTGCTTTCCTCCATCTTATCCAATTATCCCTTGAATTTATGGTCACATTTAAACTCTTGGTACTTGATCTTGGTGACTAACTGTTCTTTTAAGATTCATGATAGATCTTGCTTTGGTAAGTTGAAACATCATGGTCCCGGTTTTTTTCAGGATTGAAAAGTTTTTTTTGTAAATTTTTTTAAAATAATCTTCAAATTAGTTTTTTTTTTTTTTACTTTTAAAAATAAAAAAATATTAGTTCAGTAGATTTCCAAATAAAAAATCAGCACCACAGCGAACCTGCTAGAAGAGCAGGCTGCGGCCTGAGGAGAGCAGCACCGGCAACATCGGCCAACAAGAGAGAACGCACGCCTCTTTAGGAACTTTCTAGTTTATGTAAAGTACAAATTACAGATAATAATGACCTCGTGGTTTCAAAACTTGCGCCCATTTTTGCCAGCAAACTGAGCTTTGAACTTGTTAATTTTGCTTAAACAATTCCAAGATGCCAAAGACCATACTGTCTGCTGCCAAACAAAATACCCTGCTGGGGCTTCAATTTTGCAAGCAGCACCTAAAAATTGTGACACTTTTCTCACCATGTTTCAAATTGTTTAAAGAAACCAAACCAAGATGTCTGCGACAAAGCTAACAGCTTGAGATATGATCTCATGATAGAAGATCTCAAGCACCAACCTTGCATTCTGTTCCCAGCAAGACACCTTGCCATGCCAACCTGAAAATGAAAAAGCTCTTGCTATTTATTTTATAACGTGATCGACAGGCTTTAATGGTTAGAAGAACAGGGTCCAATCCAAAGATCACATAATAAATTAAGAGATATAATGGAGATATTTGCCCAGCTTCTTTTTTCCAGCTCAATTGACTCAACGTGGACCTATTTGCCAGCATTCAGGCAATGCAAGAGCACAGACGCACTGTGGTCTCCACCCCCACAGACACTGGGGACTGGTGAGTGAGCCCACGAGGGTAAAGAAACAACAGCTGTGCAAGAACCCATCATTTAGTATTCCTTCACTTTTAACGTATTGCTTTAACTAAGACTTTAGCACAGACATCGAGGATTCTGCAATGGATCTGTTTGGGAACTTTAAAACATGGATCAGCAAGGGAGTTCTTGGATTTGGGAAGCATGAGGGCAAAGGTCACTTCCTTTTCTATTAGTTCATGGACCACCTTCACATGTTCAACAAAAGCTATACCTGGCATCTATATTCCTTTCTTTGACTGGCAACAAGCATGACTTTATCCTGCCTGAACTGTATGTCTGTCCATGCCATGCTTACTTGTTCTTGATGAATAGCTTGAGCTACTTTTTAAAACATGCACGACGGAGGTTCTATTTTATGGATTATTTTGTCCACCACCATAACGTGCAGAAAAGCCATATGTAAGTACACGAGGACAGGAGACCTTTGATAAGAAGGGCAACCAGGCCAGGCATGTGACATAACAAGTGATGCCTCCAACGTCACATTTCCTCCCATAAAAGCAGAGGAAAGAAAAAGATGTATAATGTAGGGGGATGTAGCCTCTGAGGGACACAGACAAGAAGCATTATTATTTTGCATCATTGCCTCATGCAAAGCCCAATTACATGAAAAGGCAGAGCACATGCTGCCTCCACTTGTTAATGTATTCTCAAAAAAATTTAGGTCGTTTGCTCTCGATGAGAAACTATCAACACAAACACGGTCCCTCTAATCTTTAATGCTTCATTAAAGATTTCTGTGGACCAAATGTTCAGTATTCTTTGTTAAGCATGACAAGTAGTGCCAGGTACAGTGCTCTTTCTACGTCTCTCTGTTGTCAATAGGCAGCTGTACTTCACTGAGAACAATTCCATAAACAGAAGGAAAGAGTGCAAGGGTATAGAGAAACTGTAGGATTTGAGAAAACCAAAACATTTCATTCCAGTTTTAATCTATACAGAAACTGAGGTTTATCTAACAAGCAAAATGAGCTAAGGACACATTGGTTCGAACATAAATTTTAGGCACGTTCAATGCGGCACATCAGCAGAGCTATCTTCAACCGGTGCTAAACATTTATGTACAATTAACCGCTATCCCACCTATGCTCCTAGCTTCAATCTCACGATCCATTTGTGCTCTCCATTTGGCAGACATCAAACAATTTCAAATCGCCTAAAGACAAATGGCAAGGGAAAACTGGTTACAATGACTAGCAGCATTCATTTACCAAGAATCAATCCTCATTCTCAACAGATACCCAGTCAGTAATGGGATGGGAGGTGTTTGTCACAACTCGAAATCCCGGATTCATGACCAACACATAGGTAAGGTTCCCCTCCAAGGTTCCGATGTTTATCACAACCCGAATCTCGGATCTATGACCAGCACATAGGTAAGGTTTTCTTCCAGGGTTTCATATTTATACGAATCCAAACTTATATACAAAGTTATCCTTTAATAAATCAATCAGAGTTCAACACAGCAATAACAACAAACTAATTTCATAATATAACTTAATTGTTTTAATACAAGAGTTTTGGAGCACTGACTAGATATAAGGAAATGTATAAATTACAATCAAAAGAGCAGGTTCTGAAGGTCCAACAAAAGTAACCTACTATCAAGCTATAAGCTTGGAAATGATAAATAATGAGAGGGTGAGTTCAACAAATCAGTGAGTAGATAACATTCAATATACACACATGAGATAATATAACAAGGATGAATATATATATATATATATATAATTATGACTTTAGGTTCTTATGGAAAGGT